GGAGCCTTGAGCGCGTGGCTGAAGATCACGGAGATCAAAATCCTTTCTTTGTAGCACTCAAACAAGGCTTAGTCCGCTGGGTCCATAGCGAGGTCGTGTTCTTCTGTCACGGTGAGCTGTGTGGCAGGAAGAGGTTGGACCCAAACGCAGGATTCTGAGACAAAAACTTAGAGCAGCAGCTTCATTACCTGACAAAACAAATTACAAACAAAGTACATGAACACTAAGGAAACAAACGAAGATAAATTAGAACTAAGGATCTCCCAACTTGGCAACTTATGACCTGACGAGACTTGACATTACTGGAGAACATTGAACTAACAGAAAAACGCACAGCTCACGTGGGAATGTACAATAGGAGGGAATACCGCTGGACCTAATCTGATATAATAAGACAGGAATGAAGCAAAATTGAATACACTAACACAGGACACGGGACTATCAAAATAAAAAAAAAAGCAAGTCAAGTACGGAGACGAGGACGAAGCCACTCGAGCTTAAAACTGAGACTGAGGAAGAAACAATATTAGTCTCCCTTAAGTGCAATATTATTAAGTGCAATTTTTCTGATCCAACATAGTATTTTATTCTATTTTTTTCTAGTGATGTCTTCTTTTTGTTTATAGTATATTATTCTATTTGATCTTTTTCTATTCTTTTGTTTTTCTTAATTTTTGCTCCTCTTAACTTCGTACTGTCCACTTTCTGCCATGACCAAACAAATTTCCTACGAGTGGGACTATTAAAGGTTTATCTTATTTTATTATAGAAACTATAAATATTGCATGAGCCCACACAATTCAAGAACCAAAACCACAAATGATACAAAATCAAAGAATATAAGAAAAAACCCAAAAACACATCAACACTGGGTCACAGATCCAGTGCCATGACACTGCCAGTTTTAGAGAACAATAAAATGCTGTTTCTGTGAATATCACAATTTTATCTTGTCCATTCATGATCCACGAGTAACAAGTATGCTTACCTATACAAATGAGGTGTCATTGTTGGTCCCTTATAAAAAAAGAGTATATGTGGTTGATTGATTGTTGTCAGAACTATGTTATATTATTCTTGTATTATTTAGAAAAAGTGTAGAACTGGTCTGTGGGCATCAAGGCTTTATGTTTCTGTGCTCATTGCATGTTTAAATTAAAAGGGGACTAACCAGTTTGATATTCGACTCATAATATTAATAACAATAAAACTACTACTACTACTAATAGATGTAGTTAAACTTGTAGAGGTAGTCATAGCCTGTTCTTTGTAGTAACAACTCAACCTACAGCGTCATGTGCGTGCGTTATCGTTTATATAGTTCCAAAGAGACTGAAAATAATCTCTCTGTAACAGCACGATCTGCTGAACCACTTTACTAACGTCATCTAGTACTGTCATGATAGAGATAACTAAAGAGGATTAGTCCTCATAGACTGATGACCCCTCCACGAGGCTGTCAGTACACTGTTATATATCCTGTTTTGCTGCCACTGTCAGGGCTCTGTGTGCGGGGAGGTGGAGATGTGGATCCAAGTGCAGGACTCTGAGACGGAAATATAACTGAAAACCTCAGCTTTATTGCTGGCACCAACAAAACAGAAACCAAACATGAAAACACTAACTGGAACACACAGGCAGGATCTGAGGGTACGACACGACACCGAGCATGGAAAACACAGGGCTTAAATACACAGGGTAGTAATGAGGGAATGGGCAACAGAAGGGAGACACAGCTGGGGGAGATCAGGGCTAACGAGACGGGGGAGCTAAGCTGCACACACTAACATAAGACAAAGACTTTCACAATAAGACAGGAAACAAGAATTACTAAACCAGATGCAGACATGACACTGAGAGACAGACTAGACACTGAACAGAAACTGCAA